GTTTTTACTTTTTCCCCCTTATATTGTTGTTAGCTGCCCAGAGTGCCCTGGTTGGCAAGTATTGTGGATTATAAATTTAAATAACAAACAAACAAACAAACAAACAAACAAACAAATAAATACATAAATAAATAAACTGTTGGCCATGCGAACCCACATGCAGTTGGCACCTTCACCATTAATGGGCTGCTACGGCTTCTCCAGTTTCCCTTCCTCACACAATAAAACGCAGCAAGGAATCGTGGCTGAGAGCTGCGAGTCGTAGGCAACCAAGCCCTTTCCTCTCTGGGTCTTGGACTCCTCTGCTTTAAGAGTCTGGGAAGCCATATTTCTTGGGTCTGCTTAGAACTCCAGGTGAGAATTTAAGCAGAAGCTCTACCTTCAAGTAGTAATCTCCTTTTCTCCCTCTAGATGACAGCCTTGTTTGCCATATGTCAGATTGATGCACTGTGCTACCTGTAATGGAGTGGAGATCGTTACGTGAAGAAAACACGATCTGCTAAAATAGATGAGGCAGAGAGATTTGTGTCTCTCTTTCTGTATGTATATGTTTACATGTATAGCCTGTTTTCTATCCCCTCACCCCAGCCATCCTAGAACTCAAGGGTTGGGGAGGTGCGGAGTCTCTCATCTAGACAGTGAAGAGACAGAGATCCATGTGCCTTCAATAACAACGGCTCTGTTAAAGTGAACATAAAGAGTCCAAGAAGCTGGAGAAGCTTTTTGCTCAGGTCTTTAAAAATGTAGATTCTTTACTCTGATTTCATTGTTTATTTCAGTAAACCACAGCCACTTGTATAAAAGAATATACACCTGCAACATCCAATGGCTTTAAATGGCTCATGACGCTATCAGAGGGATCAGCCCCTTCTCTCTCACTCTCTACCCATTTTGCTGTTGAAAATCTCCTCTGCAGCAGAGAGGGCTTCTCGCCATTTGGAGCAGGTTTTTCAGCGTCTGAAGATGGGACTCACACTCCACGGTAGAAGCCTCTGCTCTTCTGATAAACACTTGCTTAGCTCTTTTTCTTCAGGATGATAAAAACAGACCACCTCTAGAGTCCTGGCAGCTAGTTCCCTCCTTTCCTCTGTAGGGATTTTGGAATTCTTTAATTAGGACAGGGTGCCTGGATGTCAAGAATTGGAATCCTGGATTCCAGTGTTTGAATATCAGATAACTATGTAATAGCTGAAGGCTGGTGGCTCACATCACCTCTCTAGAAGGTCAGAGTCTCCAGAGAATGAGGGAGACCAGGATGGCAAGGTGTCCTTGATGAGGCATCACACAACGATAGTAATAGAAGTCCTGGCTCAGTCAACGACATGCTAAAAAACCTGCATACAAGTAGGGCTGGACTTCTCACAAGTCCCTATCAGACACTGCCCACCTCAGATTGGGTAGGTAACTAAGGGAGGGACTTGTGTCAAGTACCACTTTCATGAGCCCTGTCCTAAATTAGTGGCAATCTGTATAAAAAATTCAGCATTTGAACAAATGTGGAAAAACTTTTAAGGAAGGTTTGGGAATGCAGGCATGCAGAGCCAGGGAGAATGACCATCAAGTGCTGTGGTTTAGGTAATGCTGTTGACTCTTTGCCACTGGAGCTTTCTGTTCTCTTGTAAGCTTTTGTTGCTAAAGCCACGTGGTTCCTATTTTCAACATTTTTTTTAAAAAGCACACACATTTCTGTTTATCAGTTGGGGAACAAATCGTTGAAAACATGAATTCATATGAAACTCCAGTTCTAGGGGGCATAAGGGGGAAAAGTCCCAGTTTCACCCTTTCCTCCAATTATATCCAACTATATATATATTTTAATAAACAGAGACAAATATGGGTAATAGCTGGGATTTTATCTTTTACAAAATGGTAGATCCATCACTATGTTTCTTTGCTTTTTTCTTTTTGTTCTTTTTCCAGGTGTAACCAAACCTGGAACATCTTTAAAATTAAGAGTGGGGATGAGCAACACACAACTCTTGGAATGTTGTTGGATTGAACCACCTTGACCCCTGACCTTTTGCTGTGCTGCCTAAGGCTGATTAGAATAGCCCCACAACATGATCTGGAGAGACACAAGCCATCCTTCTCTTGCACTAGAACCTATTATTCCCGTTGGTGTTTCTCTCTTCCTACACTCCACCTTAACAGTAAATGCCTTCACAGATTCAAGAACAAGCTGGTCTTTAGATGTTGTCACTAGGATGGGATTTTCAGATGTTGTGGACTGCAAATCCCATAATGCTCCATTCTGGGAGTTCCTTCTGACAGACAGGCACTTAAAGGCCTAGCTTTCTGTTTAGAAAAAATCATGAGAAGGCCACATGGTCCTGAAAACAATACAAATGCAGGAACAGGTGACACCTTTACTGGACCATTAAGAAAATAAAAAATAATAATAAAGTGAGCTTTTGATGACAACTCATCTTTCTCAGGCTGTGCACCAAATTCTCATGGGTAGCTCCAAAATTATATTTTTATATTAAATTGTATTTCTGTTGAGAATGAAGCTCCCAACTAGTACTACAGCAGGGATAGGAAGCTTCGAAAGAGAGCTAAACCTCAAAGCCTTCCAGCTGAGGCCTTTCATCCAGGCGATGCCTGTAAGGTATCTGTCTGTCTGTCAGACTCCCAGAATAGAGCATTATAGGATCTGTAGTCCAAGAATTCAAAAAAAACACCCCACACCCATTCCTATTCACCATTTTTAAGATACTCCAATATTACTTGCTTTTGAAAACAGCTGGGGTTGCCTGGGTTACTGCCTTTCAATCAACCCTGTTCTTGCGGTTTAAATGAACTAATTAAAAAGAGACAACAATGTTAAAAGCGCAACTGCGTATCAAGGAAAATTCCAATGGATCCACTATGAATGTCTACCCAGGAAGTCAGGTTTTCCTGAGTTATTTTGTTTCAGCCAACCAACCAGGAGTCAGCAGCAAGAGGGAGGAAATCTGCCTTGTTTTCAGCTTGTTAACTGTTTGAATCCTCTCTTCTCCACACTTGTGGTGTTTGTGTCTGCTCCCCCCCCCTTTGCTTCTTCTTCAGTTTCTTTACTTCTTTTTTTCCATTCTCTCTCTCTCTCTCTCTCTTTTTTTTTAAAGTTTGCTGCCCTAGTCCTAGGACAGCTAGGTGACCAAATGGGAGGGAGGAGCAAGGAATCAGCAGAGAGATAAGAGAAATTTTCACTTCAGCCTTGTTTCCAACTGGTTAAGAAAAAAAAGAACAAGGACTTGGCAGAGAGAGGAGGAAGTTTTAAAATACATAGCTTTGCTCTGACTGAACTGGTATGAATCCATTTGATTTGAAAAAAGTAGAAGCCCCAGATCTCCAGGCTGACTTTAAATTGTGTAGTAAATTGAAAAATAATGTGAATCAGATCATCCAAACCCCAGAACATTTCCTCTTAGTTTAATTCATCAAATGAAAGAAAATGGACCTTAAATTCAGGAGGGAAAACCTCCTCCCCCATGGTGTTTTGTCCTAAAATTCACTCACCAAAACCAAAGATAATGGTTGGTGGTCAACGATTCCCTGTCCCATATCTGTTATGGACATCAGCTCTGTGGCATGAGAGAATGTTGCATTCTCCCACTTTTGCCTGGCCACCTTCCCATTAGCTATTGCTGGAAATTGGATGTTCTTGGATAAGGATTGGGCAATTTAAAAAAAAACACGGAACGTTCAGTGATGATGGCTGCCCATTGTGGTTGGTGGAGTGGAAGACACAGCAGCCACTGATGGAACACAAGTAACTCGGATCTCCAGCCAAGAGGAGAACTGCCCCTCTGTGTCTCATACACGCAAGCAGGTTTCACAATTACAAGGCAGGAGGGAGGGGGTGGATGGGGGTAGTATGGAATTAAGCAGTGCCCCCTCTGCCCTGGTGAACCAGCCATGACTGGGAATCTTACTCGGATGCCTACTGTAGATGGGCATTGATTTGTAAGCATCCAATCCAGTCTATTTCAAAATATTACTATTTACCGTATTTTTCTGTTTATAAAACAACCCAATGTATAAGATGACACACACCCCTTTTTCTAACACCAAACTAGAAAATTTGATCCCTGCTGTTCCCTTCCTTTTTGCTAAGCCCCGTGGCTTCGCAAAAGGCAGGGGAAAGCGGCGGTCACTTTGACAGCCACTTTTCCCTTCCTTTTGCAAAGCCATGGGCTTAGTAAAAAGAAGGGGAAAGGGGCAGTCAAAGGGCTCCAGCGGCAGAGGCAGCAGGAGGAGGAGATGGAGACTGAGGCAAAGAAACAGCCCGGCTCGGCCACCCCTGGCTGTTGCCCAATCTCAAGGAGACCATCGCTGGAGGGGGTGAGGCGGCCGAACTGGGCTGCTTCTTTGCCTCAGTTTCTGCCTCCTCCTGCTGCCGTCCGTGTATAAAACGACCCTCAATTTTTCCTCTAATTATTTTAGGGAAAAGTGTTTTATACATGGAAAAGTACGATAATATGGCCTTTTCTGTGGTGCTTGAGGTAGCCCGCAGAGGGCACCCTCTTGGGCCCTTAAATCTTCCTACTTAAAACATCCCACAGCATATGACTGGGATTTGATCCTGCTGGGACTGTGGTGTCCTCCCTCCCAGCATCAGCCTGTATAAGGAGTCTCCCGATCAAATAGCACAAGAGCGACTGTCTGTGGGCTCAGTTGTATTAGGAGCCTCTTGCCTGCCATAATATAGACCTCTCTGTTTTGGGGCTGCCAGCTGTTGAACATGTCCTTTGTGCCTGAGGGTCTTTCACAGCAGCTGAATGCATTGACCATAGCAGGTGACTGTGTTTATTTCCAGAGTGTGGAGAGTTGCACCTGCTGATCCCTTCAGAATTTAGGCCCCATCCAAGCACAGGCCATTCTTTTCCCTCTTGCTTTCCCTTCCCTTCCAGAAATTCTACCTGACAAATGCAATTAAGATGCTTAGCCGCAGCACGGAAAAGAGGACAGGTCTCTGGCACCTTCATTGTTTGTGCCCAAAGGATCCCCCTCCCCCTTCCAGGAGGTGCGGCTGTTTAAATCCCCCTTTCCATACACTTATTAAAGGTCTGGCTTCTAATGACTTAAAAAAAGAAAAAAAGAAAAACCAAAAGCTGTACACCATTTAACATGCTCTCCTCTCCCTCTCTTTTTTAAAATTGATTGTGGGAAAACAGTAACAAATAATAGTACATGTCTTTCACCAGGAGTGTAGAATCCAATATTACGGTATATCTTCATGGTATTGTGATCTGTATCTGATTAGAATATCGCCCCAAAGAGTGACATGGGAGGCTAGTGCGAAATAAGTCTCGTCATTATTATTAACATTATAAATAAACCATGTGTTGAAAAAAAATCATCTTGGGGTGGGGCTGTTCAAGTAATCTGATCTGGTGAGTTAATTCTTTCCTATTGGGGCAATAGGCAGACAATGACCTTTCTCTTCAGACAGCCTTGCCCTTCATGACTGGCTGCCTGAGAGGAGTTTTTATGTGGAGAGTTGTGCCTTGTTGCTTTAGGTCTGTTTTCGGCTTTGTTTACCATATTTAGTGCGATATTTGTTTGATTTTCTTAAAATATTTATATACTTTCTGTTTTTAGCTTTAAAATATTATTGTTTAATGATGTAAGCCTCCTTGGACACTTTTTCAGGAGAAAGACGAGGTAAAAATTCGATGAAATTTTCTATTTCTGGATGCATATAAAGTTAAATTACACGTTTGTAGCAATTTCCAAACGTGCCACAGAAGAAGACTATCAATTGACCTGGTGGCACCTGATTATTATTAATACAGAAATAATAATCATGTGCATTCTGACCTATAGCAACCCTCTTTCAGAGTTTTCCAGATGGAGAGGGAGGGAATTCCATAGTCAGGGGGCTACACAATGCTGAAGCTAGCCCACTGATTATTTTCTGCATCCAGAAACAATGTTTCAAATGCCATTAATGTCTAGTGGAAGAGTCAGGGAACTTTTTAACCTTTTACCCCCCCCCCCAAAAAATGTATATACGTCGACATTAACACACACACCCTTGGCTCTTGCCGTCTGCAGCCAACCCCCCCCCCAGGTCAGCCAGTCTGGAGGCGCCACACCAGTGGGAAAGCGCGTCCTTGGCGAGGGGAGGCGGGCACCGCAGGACCAGCAGGTCCACCGGCCATGAGCTCAGGTGAGGTGAGGCGGGAAGGGGGCCTCCTCGCCAGGACACTGGTTGGGTGGGCACCAGCAGGAAGGAAAGCTCCGGCCAGGCTCCGCCGGGGAAAGAGTCCAGCTGGCCTGGTACGCCGCCCTCCCCTCCACTTTGGAGGCAAGGAGGGCAGGCGGGTGCCCTGTGCAGTTCCTCGCCGGGGCTCGCTCTTGCCGTGACGGAATGCCCGCCTACACCCAGCATTATTGGAAATAAAATGCCTGGGGGTAAAATGCCTGCCGCAGCCGTCCTCATTACCCCCAGGATTTTCACTTTTACCCCATTTGGAGTAATTTATCCCCCTGTTCCCTGACCACTGGTCTAGTGTCCTGCAGTTTCACTGCTGAAAGGGAATTAAAATGAACAACTTGAAACATTTAAAACTGGATAGTAGTTGTGTGATTTAATAGTTGCTTCCTGGATCTGGTACCAGAACTATTATACAAATCTCTTAATCAATGTACAGTAAATTACAGTCTTTCCGCAATTTAAATTAACTCAATTTGTCAACATCATAAAATAAGGGATGGCTGAGGAAGGAGGTCAGTGAGGCTGCAGCTGAAAATAATTTTAGTTTGCCAGTCCTTCCGTATCATTACTGCATTCCTAAGGAATGGATTCGTTATCAATGGCATGACATTAAATTTTATAGGAATAAATAAAAGCCCTTCCAACTTTTTTCAGTCCTGAGATTTTTTTCCCCTAGACTCCTAACCTTCATTTGGAAGGTTAGGAGCCAACAAGCATACAAAACATTTGCTTAATCTGGAATGCTACATAATGGAGTTTAAAATTTGGGGGGGGGGAAACTTCCTCCCTTTTGTTGATTATGGAAATCCACTGTATGAGATACTTTTGCTTCCTTAGATTTATGGATAAAACGAATACACAGATCCTACCAGTATTTAAAGGCCACATCTGATATCTCTCTAAGCAGTACTAGAAAGAGATAGCTTAACATAGGC